ACAACAACCACAATGCCTGTGTATGTGATACAAATACTTAAAACCACTTTTTAATTTTCAGTTTTTTCAAGTCCTCTTTCACATCTTTGCTCTGTAGGCTATAAATCAGTGGGTTTAATGTGGGAATCACAAGGGTATAAAACAATGAGGTCATTTTATCTTAATCAAGAGAGTAGGAAGCACTCGGCCGGAAATACATGAAGAGCATGGTTCCCTGGAAAATTGCAACAGCAGTTAAGTGGGAGGTGCAGGTGGAGAAAGCTTTGAACCTCCCTTCAGCAGAGTGGATCTTCATGACTGATAGGGTTATATAACAATAAGAGATGAGAACTCCAGAAATGGTACTCAGTTCAATGAATCCAAAAAAGATGAATAATGCCAACTCATTGATCTCTGTATCTGAGCAGGAAAGGAGGTAGAGTGGGGGTAAATCACAGAAGAAATGATTGATCTCATTCAATCCACAGAAACATAAGTGGAATGTTAAAGTCGCGTGTATCAAAGCATCTGCCGTTCCCAGCATGTCAACTCCAGCCATGAGCAGGGAGCACACTCTGTTGGACATGTTGGCTGTGTAGAGTAAGGGGTTGCCAATGGCTTTGTACCGATCAAAGGCCATCACTGCCAGAAGTAGACACTTGGAATCAGCAAATATACAGAAGATCAAAAATTGAAGAGCACAGCCAAAGAAGGGGATTGATTTGTTTTTGGCTAAAAGGTCTACCAACATTTTGGGCCCAACTGCTGTAGAATAGCAGAGGTCACAGAAGGAGAGGGGGCTGAGGAAGAAGTACATAGGTGTGTGAAGCTGGGAATCCATTCTAATTAAAATGATCATTCCAAGATCTGCAACAAGATTAATGAGATAAACAACAAGAAACATTGTAAATAAGGTCACTTTCATCCCAGGGTTATTGGTAATGCCCAAGAAAATGAATTCTGCCAAGGATGTGCAATTTCCTTCATCCATTCTTCTATATTCTTGTCTAAACTTTTGAGAAAATGATCAAGAAAATGATAGATGCACATACAACTCTTCTGACAACCACACAATATCTGTAAAGCGGAACACAATTTCTTTCTGCAATTGTCTTGTAAACTCATAAAATTACTTGGTCAATAGTCACTCTTTAAAGACACATTACTATATAATGTGACAGTAATAAAAAATATTTATGGTAGGTAGGTTGAGGAACTCTGATCTAAATCTAGATGACATTTATAAGGTATGAGACTTTCTACAAGCTCTTTAATTTCTCCAAGCATTTCCTCCCTTGTATCAAGGAAGATATTTGGATGAATTGATATCTCATTACATCTTCAAAAATTATATGGAAGGGGGTTCCTGGGTGGCTCAGTTGTTAAGAGGCTGCCTTCGGCTCAGGTCATGATCCCAGGGTCCTGGGATCGAGCCCCGCATCGGGCTCCCTGCTTTGCGGGAAGCCTGCTTCTCCCTCTCCCACTCCCCGTGCTTGTGTTCCTGCTCTTGCTATCTCTCTCTCTGTCAAATAAATAAATAAATAAATAAATAAATAAATAAATCTTTAAAAAAAATTATATGGGAGAAACACCAACGTTAGAGAAACCGGGCTGTAAAATGTAGGACTAAGCAATTTTGTATGCTTGAAAATATTCCATGAACACACAAAAAAGAGTATATTATATCTTCAAAAAACACGATTAGGTTAAAAGATTTTTTGTATTCGTTTTAGAAACAATGATCATGTCCCACATTAATAATAATGAAAATAATTATGTTAATGATCCTGGTCTGAGTTGTCTTTATTGTTTGCTGAGACATGAAGTAAGCATTATTCACCTTTCTCTAGAAATGTATTATTGCTTTGCCACAGTACTCATGACCTATTTGTGGAGTGGTTTGGTGCCGAAGGAGGAGTCTTTAACCAAAGAAAAGTTCTAAAAAAAAAAAAAAGGTAAAAACAACAGAATTTAACACATACATTTGCATCTCTTTGGATTTTGAATGGACCTGTATATGAAAAAATGGAAATAAGATGGGGAGCCTGGGTGGCGCAGTTGGGTAAGCATCTGATTCTTGATTTTGGCTCAGGTCATTATCTCAGGGTCATGAGGTTGAGCCCCTAGTAGGGCTCCCACGTTAAGCACGGAGTCTGCTTGAGATTCTCTCTCTCCCTCTCCCTCTGTCCCCACCAACCCTGCTTTCTCTCTCTCTTAAGAAAAAAAAAGGAAATAAGATGAGGAACTATAAATGCTTCTGAGAGATACAAGCTTCTCTTCCTTGTGTGTGTGTTTATGTATGTGTGTCATGTGTTTACATGTACATCTGTCTCTGTTGTACATGAGAATAGGGAGTGGACAATGGACTTGTTCCTAGAGAGCCTCTAGGAGCACCTTTTAGTATTCCATATCTAGGATTAAAAAGTTGACAGAAAACTGTAACAGTCCCAGATAGAAAGAACTAATAATGATGCCTATACTTGAGGGATAAAGGTTTGGGCCACTTCACAAGACAAGAAGACAAGGCAACTGGGATGCTCATTGAAATGAAAGGGACTATGGAAGAGGTTGTGGAGGAAAGGAAATTCTATGTGCCAGCTATGATCATGTGGCCAGTAGTGAGAGCAAGACTGTAGGAGCTATGGTCGTGATTTTCCTTGTTTTGATATAAATATATTAACCAATATTTCCACCTCTCCCATCCCCCTGCCTCTTAACACAAAATATGGGAAGGAGGTTTAAACTTCTATCTTAAATTTTTTTGTAAGTTATAGGATATCAAAGGCGTGTGACTTAGCTAGAAGGACCCTAGACCACCCCATAAGGATAAAATGGCATATAAAACTTTGTGTAGCCCCTTTTTCTGTCAGTTGTATGCATGCATCTGTTAAAAATAAGCATCCTTTTGCTGTTTTATTTGAAAGTTGATTGTGATTACGAGATGTGTCTCTGAAGAGCATGTTGAAAAGGGATGGATTTTTTGGGATCCTGCTGCCAGTGTGGTTATGGCTGGGATCTGCATTTCCCAAATCTTTCCAGTGTGGTTTCAGGTTAGAATTAGTAAAAAGAAATTTGCATGAAGTTCAGGCATAAACCTCCTATTTCCATAATGTTTATAGTGGTTCTGCTTTTATTACCTAAATGATGATTCAGCAGCTTCAGGAATACGGGGGCCACACAGGCTTCAGCAAAAACCGCAGAGGAAGGCCTAGCTAAGTGGGTGGCCTCAGAAAGTTCTGACTGTGTTGGACCTAAAGTACAAATTCAGGCCTTGCTGGCTACCACGCAGTCTTGGAAATTTAGCAGGTGTCTGGAAACCACCGCCCCCCTTAACCCGGGGATGAAATATAGGATGCTCCCAGTGGGAGAAGCAGTGTGGGCCATCTAGAAAGCTCAACAAATAACAACAGCCCTTCTGACCTTGAAACAATTCTGATACCCTGTATTTTTAGTTATTCCTTCACTTGGAAACAGCTATATTTTCTCCTAAGTGGTGTAATATTTAGTGATATAATTATTGAGCATGAAAAGGCAATGGTGTTGCAAAACTAAGATTTTCGTAGGCAGCTGGGTATGTAATATTGCACTGTGAACCCTCTCACCAAAAGATGCTTGCATATGTTAAGAGCTTAGCGAACATGAAAAGCTGTTGATAGATACTCATCTGTATGGCTCTGTGTGAGTCTCTATAATCTTGGCCAAGCAAATCTTGGCTAAGTAAATATAAATTTAATATTAGAGTATATTGGTGGGTGTGTAGTTGTGAGTGACTGCGCTCTCTTCTTAGCGAATGAAACAACAGAAATGCTCAGGAGAAGCCTTGTTGGTCTGAAATCCAAAGATTCCTAGGGGAATTTAAAACTGACAATGATTTGGGCTGTATCTTGCGGGGATTTTTGCAACAAAGATTACATGGATTTAAACATACTTTTTAAACTTTGATATTTCCGGGTCAAAGCTTGTAAATATTTATTATCATAGAGACAAAAATAATATAATAACAAAAAACAATGTACAGTATAAAATATCAGTTACTGAAATACATTTTGCTGATACATGCCTCTAATTTCAGTCTTCAGATGTCCCATCAGGGCATGTGGGTTGATCTCTGCGTGGAGATACAGGTGATATATTGGAGAGCTGATTTTGTTTCTGAGATGCCAGAGAAAGATGTTCCATCTAATAATACTTCGGTGTATAAAATATAAAAGATAGACAGGGAAACAAATCAAATAATTTGCCTTGCAATTAACCTATATTCTTCAAGGTGCTATTTAGAAAAAGTTTCCAAATTCCTTTGGAGTAGATTGGGTATAGAAGGTTAGCATCATATTACTGAACTGAACTTAAGAAAATGGATTTGATTTTGTATTATTGCTCCCATGACATCCCTGCCTCTTACCATCTCACTGTAAAATATACATTTTAATTAATGTGAACTATTATAAATATATATATATATATAATTAACATCTATCAAGGGCTTAAAGTGGTACAGGTACTATTCACAGCATGTGTTCAGTTAATCATCCAACAATTGATGACATGTGTACTATATTCTCCCCATTTTACAGATAAGTTAATTGAGGCATAGAAAAATGAAGTAACTTGTTCAAAATGCCACTCTCTAGCCAGATACGGAGCTGGCATAAGAACCAAGGGAATCTGGCCTCCTCCCTCATCCACTAATCTACCATGTAACTGAAATATATTTCACATGAACAGACACATGCACACACACACACACTTTTCTGACTTATTTATTATATCCTTAAGACAATCTGATAAAACACCTTTTAGCATTGACTCCAAGTGAGTAATCATTGAATGGTAGTCTATTATTTAGCAGCAATTTTGAAACTTTTAAATGCTGTCTTATGTCACGGGGTTATGACTCAAATTTGGCTGTATGAAAACCAGGTGCTTTATAATATCCCTTGTGTGTCTGCTGGTAGGCATGTTGCATGTTCCCAATTACAGTTTGTAACTGGGGATTTAGATGAATCGCAGAACATTATAGTTCATAAAGAATCCACCTTTAACCTTATAGCTCTCTTAGTAACATCTTTTACATCTTTATTTCTCAAACTATAAATCAACAGATTCAGCACTGGGATGATAATGGTGTAGAACCCGGAGATAATTTTATCAGTGTTGGGAGAATACAGGTAGCTGGGCGGTGAGTAAATGAAGAGAAGTGTTCCTTGATAGATGGCCACAGAAGTCAGGTGAGAAGCACATGTGGAGAAGGTTTTCTTCTTCCCACTGGAAGAAGAAACTGAACGAAGGATGAAAAAAGTAGGAGATGATGATGACAGTGAAACAGGTAATTTCCACTGAGCTGCTGTAAGTGGAGAGAAGCCACTCATTAACGGATGTGTCTGTGCAGGATAGCTCAAGGGGGGAGGGAGGTCACAGAAAAAATGATTAATGACATTTTTATCATAGTACTTCAGAATAAAGGCAAAGGATGTGTAAACCATGTTACCTCCAATGTAGGACAAGACAATCAACCATGTACAGATGCTCCGAGACATCACAGCTGTAAAGAGTAAAGGGTTACAGATGGCGACATAACAATCATATGCCATGGCAGCCAAAATAAAAGATTCTGTATCTGCAAAAGTGCAGAAAAAATAAAACTGTAGGGCACAGCCATAACAGGAGATAGCTTTGTTTTCAATTTCTGAGGAAATTGAACAGCATTTTGGGAACAACGACTGAGGAGTAACAGAGGTCTGCAAATGAGAGGTTGCTAAGGAAAAAATACATAGGGGTGTGACGGTGAGGATCGATCCTGAATAACAGCATCAGCCCAATGTTCCCTGTTAAAATCATACCATACAATGTCAGAAACGTAAGGAACAGGACAATCTGCAGTTCAGGATGGGTCGGAAACCCTAAAAGAATAAACTCAGTACCAAACTGTAGTTTCCATCCATCAATTCCATATTCCATGTTGTTTTCTTTCTATGAGAATTCTAACATCCTAAAATGGTACATTGAGGGAAAGAGAAAAACAGATATAATTACATGGTTATTTTACTGTTGCAGTGAACAAACAAACAAGCAAATAAACACTCCAAGCCCAAACTTCCTGTCAAATATAAACCCTGAGAGATGTATTTCAGAATTTAGTAACCATCAGATCCCATGTTCAATAGTTTTATCTTATTTGATGAATGACTCTGCCTTCCATTGGTTGGTTGGTTGCTGCATGTAGGGATCTGATTTTGCTTACTTTTTTGTACCCAGATATAGCACAATAGCTGGTTCAAGGGATTAAAGTGATGGATTCATAGATGGACTAATAATGATATGAAGAGAAGAAAAAAACACTATTAAACATAAATTGATTTTATTTTTTTAAGATTTTATTTATTTATTGAGAGAGAGAATGAGATAGAGAGAGAGAGCATGAGGGGGGGAGGGTCAGAGGGAGAAGCAGACTCCCCGCTGAGCAGGGAGCCCGACGCGGGACTCGATCCCGGGACTCCAGGATCATAACCTGAGCCGAAGGCAGTCGCTTAACCAACTGAGCCACCCAGGCGCCCAAAAACATAAATTGACTTTAGAATCTGCCTTGGAATGATAACTGTAGAGCAATTTGCTTTTTCTTTCCAGGATTTAATAGATAGTAGTATGCTATACTCTAGGCAGAGCAGTGCTGGTTATTTTGTTAATATGAAGTAAAGGTGATATTAATGAAGTGAAAACAAATGCCATTAAAATCAGCTATGAGTATATTTTTGATAGGAAAGTGTTTAGGGTGACTCCACAAATCCTATCAAGATAATAAGCCAAAATGGGGCACCTGGGTGGCTCAGATGGTTAAGCATCTGCCTTCGGCTTAGGTCATGATCCCAGGGTCCTGGGATCAAGCCCCACATGGGTGTCCCAGCTCAGCAGGGAGTCTGCTTCTCCCTCCCCCTCTGCCTCTTTCCCTGCTTGTGTTCTGTCTGTCTCTGTCTCTCTCTCTTTCTCAAATGAAAAAAATAAAATCTTCAAAAAAAAAAAAAGAGAGACTAAACCAAAATGATTAAATTAATCATTTCTCTATCTTTGGCATTTATTAAAATTCTTGGCTTCTAGTGAGTGCCTGATGAATATTAGTTGACTGACTGAAAAAAGTGGGTAAAAAATTTAGTAATAAGTTGGCTTCTAATTCAAAAATATTACTGTGTGTGGCCTCCTCACTGATTATATGTTCTGTGCAAACAAAAATAGCTCCCATTTATTTTTATGCTAGTATAATTCAGGGTGTTGAGTCTAAAAATTCTGTCAGTGCTCGCTTTAGGGATCTCAGAATTTTTCCAGGAGTAGAAAAAAAATGGAGCTTGAGCTTGAATACAAAAACCTTTCTCTTAACCTTAAAAGATGTACTTGGAAATACATAAAACAAACAAGGAAAGTATTCAGTGATCCATGGTAATATTGACAGGAAAGGAACAAAATTGTTTTGGGTTGTTCTCTCATTTATGTAAAACCTATTCTTTCAGTGACAGTGGTATGAACTTCATTTGTTTGTGTCATATAATCATTCAAACACCCTAAGGCACAGGCACAGAGAAGCCTAAGGGAACCAGAAGGATTAATATATTGTCATGCTATTTCTTCAGAGGGTGAACGAGATGCAGGACTACAATAAGATAGTGGTTCATTCATTCTTTGTCTGTTTCCAAAGTCATCAAGATATTTGGAAAAGATAAGATTTTACTTTAGAGTTAGTAAGAATTTGGTTAGAATCTCATCCTGGCCACATGTGAGATGTGTGACCTTGTGCAATTTAATGTATATATCTTTGTACTGTAAAAATGACAGGTATCTCAGACAGTTGCTTCATGGGTTAGAAAAAATTATGTCTGTCTCTATCTAGCCATCATCTATCTCTATCTATCCATCTATCATCTATCATTTATTTATCTATCCTTCTATGTGGTCACACTTTAGAGAAACTGACACATGGTATGTAAATAGCAAAGATTAGTTTCAATTACTCCCTTGTTCTCTTCCATCCTTAGCTTATGAGCAGTGCTAGGCAGCAAGGCTTTATTAATCATGGCTGTCACTTATACAATGATTACTACATGCAATGCAATATTCTAAACACATTGTATATAATTTGTCTCACACACACACAAACTAACAAAATTACAATGCAGTTTTCCTCACTGTCCTCTTTCTTTTACAGATGAAGAAACTAAGGCACCAAGAGTTTGAGAGGTAAGATGTGATAGAAAAAGATCGAAACCCAAGCTCCTGATTCCAAAGATTGGCTCTCTATAAAGCTGCACTCTTATTACTAATTTCATATTTTGGATAAGAATATTGAGAGTAATATGTCATGTCATTAAGCTACTCATTGATGGGCATAATCCAAGTCCAGGTGTGTCCAAGCCAAAGCTCATGAGAGTGACCATGAAGGTGGTTTGAACATTAAGGGGGTGACCACCACGAGACAGGCTGAGTTGCTGAAAGGGGGGAGAAATGCTTACATGTTAGGAACTCAATAGGAGATTGAAGAAAAGAATAGCAGCAACTCTCTGAACAGAAAAGCGACCACTTTCTGGAAGGTAGGACGTGCGGAGAAGTGCATCCGAGGCGATATTCGGGAGGATAGACGGCGGGGGAGGGGGCCTCCGTCGGCCACTTCTGGCAAGTGATAGAGCCGCGGAGCACAAAATCGGAAATTTTAGAAGTCGGCTCCGCTGAGGGACGTCGCTCCAGTGGCTAAGCGGGGGGTGGAACCCTCGCGGGACAGTGTGGTCTCAGGACCCTCAGGGTCACAGAAAGACCGGGGGTGCCTGAGTGCGGCAGAGCTCCCAGGTATCGGAGCGGGGAAGCCGGCTGCAGAGACGGAGCCGAGGCGCGGGCTCTCAGCTTGGGGTGGCCATAAACTGTGATCCGCGGCCCAGTCGGGCCACTGCTCCTCCAGCAGGGACCCAACAAGTGGCAGATCCGGGGAGACCCCCCTTCCTCCCCCGGGGAGAGCGGCGCGGGAGCGCACCGCAGGGATCTGCTGGGTTTGGAGACTCCACACAGGGTCGGGTGCCAGAGATAGAAACGCTCGGTCACAGGCCGGGTGGGCACGGAGTGCGCCCGGAGACCGGGGAGACGGGAGTGACTGCTTTTCTCTGGGGCGCACTGAGGAGCGGGGCCCCGAGTTCTCAGCTCCTCCGGGGCAGAGATTGGGAGGCCGCCATTTCACTCTCGTCCTCCAAAGCTGTACCGAGAGCTTGCAGGGAACAAAAGCTCCTGAGAGCAAACCCAACCAGATTACTTAGCCCAGACCAGGCAAGGGCGGGACAATTCCGCCTCCGGCAAAGACATTTGGGAACTGCAGCAACAGGCCGTTCCCCCAGAAGATCAGCAAGAACAGCCAGCCAAGATCCTTTACCGATCAAGGAGAACCACAGAACTCCAGCACTAGGGGAATACAGCACATAGAATTCATGGCTTTTTACCATGATTCTTTAGTCTTTCAAAGTTAATTTTTTTTAAGTTTTTTTAGGATTTTATTTATTTATTTGAGAGATAGAGAGAGAGCATGAGAGGGGGGAGGGTCCGAGGGAGAAGCAGACTCCCTGCTGAGCAGGGAGTCTGATGCGGGACTCGATCCGGGGACTCCAGGACCATGACCTGAGACGAAGGCAGTCGCTCAACCAACTGAGCCACTCAGGCACCCTCAAAGTAAATTTTTTTAATTTTCTTTTTTTTTCATTTCTTTTTCTTTTTCTTTTTCCCTTTTTCAACCAACATCTTACCAATCCTTATTTTAAAAATCATTTTATTTTTCATTTTTAGAGTCATATTCTATCCCTCCATAGTAGTTAACGTTATTTTTGGTATATATATAAGTTGTTCTCATTTAAATTTTTAGGAGATAGTTTCTTCTAACAGAACAAAATATACCCTAAATCTCTAGTGTATGGCTTTGTTCTAGTTTCCTGCCTAATCACATTCTCCTCCCCCCCTTTTTTTTAATTCCTCTTCTTTCTTTTTTCAACGAACTTCTTATCAATTCCTTTTATAAAATTTTTATAATTTTCATCTTTACAGTCATATTCCATCCCTTTATTATATTTACCCTTATTTTTGTACATATATAAGCTTTTCTTTCTTTAAAATTTCAGGAGGCAGTTTCTTCTAACAGACCAAAATACGCCCAAAATCTAATGTGTGGTACTGATCTATTCACAGGCCTGATCATATTTGATCATATTCCTTTTTTTATCTTCTTTTTTTTCTTTTTTCTTTCTTTCCTTTTCCTTTCCCCCAATTTCAGGTCTATTCCAATTTGTTTAGTGTATATTTTGGGGGGATCATTGTTACCCTATTAGCATTTTGATCTCTCATTCCTCTATTCTCCTCTGGACAAAATGACAAGACAGAAAAAATCACCTCAAAAAAAAGAACAAGATGCAGTACCGACTGCCAAGGACCTACTCAATATGGACCTTAGTAAGATGTCAGAACTAGAGTTCAGAATGACGATTATAAAGATACTAGCTGGGCTTGAAAATAGCATGGAAGATATTAGAGAAACCCTTTCTGGAGAAAGAAAAGAACTAAAATCTAACCAAGTCAAAATCAAAAAGGCTATTAATGAGGTGCAATCAAAAATGGAAGCTCTAACTGCTAGGATAAATAAGGCAGAAGAGAGAATTAGCAATATAGAAGACCAAATGATGGAAAATAAAGAAGCTGAGAAAAAGAGAGATAAACAACTACTGGATCATGAGAGCAGAATTTAAGAGATAAGTGATACCATAAGATGAAACAATATTAGTATAATTGGGATTCCAGAAGAAAAAGAAAAAGAGAGAGGTGCAGAAGACATACTGGAGAAAATTATAGCAGAGAACTTCCCTAATTTGGGGAAGGAAACAGGCATCAAAATCCAGGAAGCACACAGAACCCCCCTCAAAATCAATAA